TAACAAATGATACGTTCAGAATATTACAGATGAACTATATTCGACGTGTCAGAGATTATTGAACGAAGCACGTTTCCGTTTTTTTTCCCATCACGCGATCTTCGAATCGCGGTTTCGATAACATTAGGAAATCCTCTGCTCGCCTTTACACACACGCCATCGACGCGCAACCGTCGAGAAAGGAACCGCCGCCGCCGTTTTCACATCCACGAATTCACGGGGCTGCGGACTAAAAGTGTCGGCGAAAATGAGAAGTTTCCAGGGAAATCCATAACGCCGGACAGGATTACTCTCGGCTAAAAGTTTCTCCCGCCGGTCGGTACGTATTTCCCCGCCGTTCTTAATAAACCACTGCGTCACGAAGGATGCATTACACGAGGCGGGGGTAGGCGAGGGGTTAACGGCCGGTGAAATTGCGATCGTAACACGGCACGAACATCATCGTTACACGGTCTGCGTTTCCACCTCGCCATCAACGATCAAACGGTAAATCATGACGGTGGCCTATTCTTACGCGGTTTCGTCGCCATTACTTCGACGAGAGGAGCTGATGCTTGGAAGAATCGGAAAATCTGTCCGACTCTAAGACGATAAACTATAATTTTCGCAGTTCGTGTATGAAAAGCAGAGCGTGTCATCACAATAAATTGGTGAAAATTGAATTTATACGTACGCTTTAGATGAAACGCGAATTCTCAATTCGCATTCAATACTTAAGGAGTCAGGACAGTTTGAAATTTTCAAAAAATCGATTCTTTCTCTTTTTTTCCGTCTTAAATGGTAGCTTGAAGTCTTAGACACAAGATACAAAAGGTCCAAGCCTTTAAAACGATTTATTTAATAATAAATCCACAGAGACACAGAATAATTGAATTTAGGGTAAACAGGATCGTTCCTTCGCAGCCATCGACATTTCACCAAGGACCGATCTCGTTTCCCGTTACGAAGCCGCCAGGATTATCGAATTAGCCCGACAAATTCATTTACCTTTCGAATGATTTCGAGCCGCGTGTACATAGACGAGAGTAATTAAAATTGAAACGGAATATAGATATATGTATATATATATATATCGAGTGCGTCTCGCGTATTTGTAGATTCGCTCGACGTTTCAATAATATATATCCGGCTTATATACGAAAGTTCCACCGGTGTCACCGTAAACTGGATCGAGCGATATTTATTTATTTATTTTTTTCTCTTTCTTTTTTCTACGCTGTAAATAACGTCTACGCCATGGTCGGGAAAGTTTAATTTTTCACGTATACACACATTTCGGAACAAATTTCATTTTGCGCTTCTGTGAAAGCGAGAGGTTATCGACTCGCGATTCGACGAAAATAAATATATGTACAGGATGATTCACCTAACTTGCACACGTAGAATAACTTTTAAGTTACACGTGTAATGAAAAATTGTTTAATAGAAGAGTTGTAAATTAAAAGATAATATTAAAAATTAAAATATGTATAAAAGAAATTAAAAGGTAATATTAAAAATTAAAATATATATAGAAGAAATTAAAAGATAATATTAAAAAGTAAAATATGTATAGAAGAAATTAAAAGGTAATATTAAAAATTAAAATATATATAAAAGAAATTAAAAGATATATGATATCAAAAATTAAAATATATATAAAAGAAATTAAAATGTATATGATATCAAAAATTAAAATATACATAAGATAAATTAAAAGCTGTATGATATTAAAAATTAAAATATATATATAAAAGAAATTAAAAGATGTATGATATCAAAAATTAAAATATATATAAAAGAAATTAAAAGGTATATGATATCAAAAATTAAAATATACATAAGATAAATTAAAAGCTGTATGATATTAAAAATTAAAATATATATATATATCAAAAGTACAGGACTTGCGTGATATTTAACAGAGGAATCAATTTCTTTTGTCAGAAAATGAAAATTGTCGATCAATTTTCCACGCTACTATGCTATTTATGTTAAGTCGTTCAGTAAAAACGTACAAAGATCCGCAGCTGTACGACTTCGGCAAATCCAATCCAATGTGTATTACGACATCACGAGAATTTTTCCACGCGACGCGGAAGAAGGAAAAAGAAAGAAAAAAAGATAATAAACTGCAACTGATTTCGTACGATTACGTGCGCTTCGAATCTGACACGCGACACATCTTCATCCCCGATCAACGGGGAGCGAGCTTATATTTATTGTGCGAACAGAAGACAGAAAGAGAGGAGGGAAAAGGATAGTACGAATCAAATCGAACCAGTTCCCGATACTCGAGCCGACTTTATATTCAAGAACATGCATGCGCAGCTCTACTCACCCTGGTACACCCTAGTGTGTCAGATCCGACTGCGTACCACCTCGCCACCACTGATCGATATTTTTCATTTTCTTTTACATCTCCCTTGAAAATCTGTTTCCTTTTTATATATATATATATATATATATATATACAGGGTGGGCCGGAATTCGTATTACAACCAAGCAAAGAGTGATTCTACGTCAAAAAATCAGAAAAAAATTTGGCATAACATTTTCTTTTATCTGGAGCTCTGTTTTCGAGAAAATCAACTTTAAAGTTTGTTCATCTTTGCGAACGGTCTAGTTGTCTATTCTTCTACCGCGGTTGTTTCTCCGTTTGAGATAGCGTTTACAAACATTATTTATTGTGCGCGGTCAAAGCAGTACGAACTTTTTATTTCTTATTACTACTTTCTATTGCAATACGGTACACTGTTACAAGTTTTGTTGAAAATGTTCTCCTCGTTGCTGCATACACATGTTTGCTCGACGAGTTAACCTCATCTGGGACAGAATGTAAACTGTTACTCGTTGTTTAATTTCTCGAATTCCTTCATAATCTTTCGCCTCGAATATGCAACGCTTGAATTATTGTCTTTATAAACTTGTTCTTTGATATGCCTCCATGAAAAACTAAATCTAGAGGCATGACGTCCGGTGACCTTAGTGGCCAACGTACCTTACCAACACGAATACATTTGATTTGAAAAATTTTTAACCTCCCTCGTGCAATGTGGCGTCACACTCCTTACAGTAGCTAAAAGTACATCTTCTCTCTCGAAGGCAATTCATTCCGTAGAAACTCAAAGCTGAACAAACTTTAAAGTCGATTTTCTCGAAAATCGAGTACCAGATAAAAAAATGTTATAACAAACGTTTTTCCTATTTCTTGACGTAGAATCATCCCCTGCTCGGTTGTACTACGAATTCCGGCCCACCCTGTATGTATATAGAAAAGTATCGAGTACGAACGTTCTTTACTCGATACTCGCCCTGTTCGTCATAAAAAAAGGGGAAAATACGGTGTCAGATTCTACACGTGTTGTAAATTCTATATTTCATTTTCTTTTTTTTTTTTCTCCGTGTTTCATTCCAATTGCAAGGGTGGATGTATGTAGTTTGTAAGAGCGCGTAAAAGGGAGATGAGTAGAGGATTTATTCAACACGTTTGAAAAATCGAGAAAATGTCGGGAAACTAATGTAACTTTATAATTGTATTGATTGTGAAAAAAATGGATTATCATTTTAATGTAACTACTTTTTCATTTAAATTCTTTGTTACATTCGATAGGCTGATTATTCGAATATTATCTCGAATTCTTTCCAAAAGAACATCGTCAAAGTGAAATGTCTTTTGACAAGTAACGAGGATTTTGTAAAATCCTGAAACAGTTAATATATAACATATAATTCGTAGTTTGTTGTATAGTTTAGTATACAATGGTTAACTAACTGTTGTACATTATTAATTAATTAACTAATATATGTAACAGTTAAACATATGTACAGTTGTATGTCCATCAATTTACTATTTCATCACCTCTCGTCGCTTCTGCCAAAACGAACCTTCCGCCATTTCTCACTCAAGAAAGACCTCAAAACACAACTCTAAAGAAACGACTCTCCTCAATGAAAAGAAAGCTCAAAAAGAAAGAGAAAACACTGGAAAAAGTGTGTCTTTCAATTAAAGAGCATGGAACGCTGAAAAAAAATCCTTCCCTCTAAAAAAAAAAAAAAAAAAAAAAAAAAAAAAAAAAAGAAAAAAATAAAAAAAGAAAAAGAAGGAATGGACGAATTTTATTATATTACATGATACCGTTTATCCAAGACGAACCTCAAATCTTCGAACTGAGCGCTCACTTGATAAATCCTGGATAACAGTTCAAATTGCCACGATGTAACTAATTCAGGCGGGCAATTCAGCGGCGCTTTACAAGTGCATTAAACTGATACGTTAGATTCCTTCCGTCTGATTTTCGTGTGAAAATTTCATTCGAATGGTAGCACGGTGCAAAGCGAGGGAACGCAATTTCACCGAAAGGATTGCGCGCGAATTATTTAGAAACCGAGCCTTGGCGAATCGCATTTTTTCCCTTTCTCTCTCTTTCTCTCTTTCTCTCCCTCTCCCTCTCCAAGCGTGTCGAGTTGCGGAACGTTGGCGGTTTACGAGGCGAAAAAAAATTCGTCGCTCCACTTTTCCTTCGAGTTTTCCCCCGAAAGAAGCTCGTTAACGAGGAGGAGGCACGACCAGCGCGAGAATTTAACGGAGTGTGAATTTCCGATTAGAGATACGATCCGCCATTTTTCCGAGATCCGAAACGAAATCGGATTTTTCATCTGTGTGTTCGCGAACAAACGGAACGAATTGTAAAAGATTACGGCATTGCGGAATTGTTTGTTCACGTTTTGTAGGAATTGCAGTCCTTTCTTGAAATTTCGGAGTTTGGTCAATATTCTCAGTGACGAGCAGTCACAAAATTAATTACGGATAATGGAAATAGTATTATTTTTAGTGGTAATTTACTTTGACCATCGTTACGTAAATTTCTGATCATTTTAAAGTCGAAATTTCCAATGAATAAACAGAGTAATTTTTGCCAACAATTTTAACTTGACGTTGATGTTCTTTGATCGTATTTCGTGAAGTCAGTATTTGTAACTTGGTTCGCTACAAAAACGTTTCATCGTTACAGTGACAATGGCTACAGCAGGTGCACTGGTGCGTCGAGGCGATTCTTCTCTTGTAACATCCAGGTGAGTGTGGTATTGTAATAGTCATTCTGTTCTAAACATTAAAATATAAATATAAAATTTTAATACAGCAATATAATAAAAAAAATACGGATACAATTTTCAAAATCTTTCAAGTATTATTCAATAATTATTTAATGACTCGGTAATACGTAAGTTAATTCTATTTTCTCCTTCTTTATACGACTATATGTGTACGAATCAAATGCATAGTTACTCGTCATTAATAGCCATGCAGCCAGAGAAGATTTATGCGATCTGTTTTAGTAGATCAAATAATCTTGACAATCTATCTGTAACAACGAGGCACCGACACGTGATGCACGGTTCAATTATTCCCATCTGCATGATCAACGAGTTTCGTTCTCTATTATCTAGGATCGCCCGATATTTTCACTTTGTCCAGTCGTTACATTCCATTCGATCGTTATTAATCTCAATGAACCGATACCTGGGTAATTTCGATATTTCGTTTATGTAGGAATTTCATATCATGACAGCAGTAATTATATAAACACTCGAATTAATACATTCACTACTGATTACATTTTCATTACACACGCTATATGGAACACTAATAAATAATTTCCGAGAGATCTCTATGTTGTGCAAATTTGCATTACGGAAATTCTAGTAGAAAATTCTATTAATTCATATGTAGAGTATATAAATATATTATGCAATATAGTATTCTATCTATAAAAAAATAAAATAGAATATAAATTTTTATAATAAACTTCTTACAATTAAAATTATTCTAAAATGTAAGTTAATACTAAATAATACAAAGACTCATCAAACGATGATATTTAATTCCAATTTTCTTAAATTTTCTTGTTAAGAAAGAACTTTCCAATCCAAATAAATAATTTCCCATCCTTGCAGATTTATGACAATTTTGCAATACATAATGTACATTTATATAAAGTTCATCTGTCTATGAAAAACGAATAAAATGTAAATTTGCGTAATAAACTTCTTACAATTAAAATTATTCTAAAATGCAAGTTAATACTAAATAATACAAAGATTCATCACACGATAAAACTTAATTCCATTTTTCTTAGAAAGAACTCTCCAATTCAAAGAAATAATTGTTCATTATTAAAATTTATCAGCAATGTGTCATTGACTAAATTCCTCTCGGCGATCGCTCTCAAAGATCTTTCGTCAAACAAACAGCTCTGCTGCACGAGTTGTGTACGCGTTGCACGTCCCTAACCTTTAAATATGTCGGTCAATTTCTCGCGTATCGGTTCGACGATGTTTAATAAAATGATTTATACCATTATTTAATTCAGTTCGTTAAATGTCAGCCGCAGCCCGACTGAACTTCCAACCGAACCGTACGAATCTCCCATCGGGCAATCGAACGATTTCACGTGTGGCCCGAAAGTTCGAAAGAAACTTTCGTCCGTTCATCGGCACGTTCCCTCGTGCTTCCACCGTTTAACCTGAATCGATCCTCGACTATCATTCCCCGACGCTTGAACGACCCCTCACACGCGCCACGTCCCGTCCAAGTTTCATTTAAAACCACTTAATCAAACCCGTTGCCCGTTGATCTCTATCTCCCCCCTCTCTGTCCGATTCTCTTGATTTTGACAAATTGATTCGCTGATTGATTAATCGGCAAGAGAAGTCACGGATTCAAGGGACTTTGCTTGAAAATTTATCCGCGGGATGAAACATTTCTCGGCGACAGGACAATTGTTTCGTTCTGTTTCGTTCTGTGAAAATACTGACTTTTCGTACTTCTGATTTAAATTAAAGTTTTAAGTTCAGACATGCTCCGTGATTACGATACGCGATATTTTTTACATTTCTCTCGTTTGTTCGAAATTTTTGCGAATATACTTTCAATCTTACTGAGTTTACAAGTTATTCGTTTCGCGAATGTACGTGTAGATATATCGCGTGATGAGAAGCGTGAAAAGTGTAGCAGACCATCAAACATAAATTTGAGTTTTATTTTTGAAGAATAATTTCGTCTTATCTGTTTCCGAGTATTTTTAAAGAGGCCAAATATGTATTCAGGTCACGAACGTGCTTTACCACTTTAATCCTGGAGAACTATACTGGATATTGCATTCTCCATACGTGCGTTGCCACGAGACAGCTAAGATTACGTTTCTCCATTACTTTCTGATATGAAGAAACCAAAAATTGCGAACCAACTATAAAAGGCTTCCTGAAACTACGTTTAATCATTACTATTTTGTTTCAATTTCTATTTCAAGTTCTATTTTTTACTTATTTTTTTAATGATTGAAAACGTTCAATATCCCGCGTTGTAATATTAAAAATTTCGTCAATTTGAAAAAAAAAAAACATCATTTAAAAACGTTTAAAACAACAGTACAATTTGAAGAAGCTTTCTACTTTCATACGACAATTAAATTTAGTTAAAAATAAAATTTCATGAACAAATATTTACACGTTACATGCAATTAGAAACTATGCAAAATTCAATTAGAAATTCGAATTTAAATTAAAAATAAGATCGTCCGTGTAATTTCGCAAAGTGAAACAGTACTGAAATGTAACTTGCAATTAGAGACTATCCAAAATTAAATGTAAATCAACAGAGCTAGACTTCGCAACCTCTCTCGGTGGTTGAAATTATTCTCTCCTTTTTTGTCACTGGACCAGATGCCAAAACTATAATATAAAACAGATTCGTACAGAAACAACAGAAACGTAATCAGGAAAGGAAAAGAAAAAATGAACGACCACGTTCCACCAAAGGCGAAATTCAATTTCGATGAACCCTCAAACCGAAATGAACGATATTGCATTATCGACGAATAACCAGGCGAAACGAAGGGTTAATAGCTGGTGACAAGCAACCGGTCCCTGGAACGGTGCCCGCTTCCTACTCTATTCCAGCCGATTGTGCGAGCTGACGAGGTCACCGGGACGCCGCCGCCGTAAAACCCCCAGGTTTCAGGTTTGCGTTCGCAGCAGCCACGATCGTTTCTCCCAGTACGTTCGTCCGCTTGATGGACGCGTTGACCCGTTCAGAATTCGCGAGCAGGGATTAAAAGTTTATAGCCACCGGTTAAGATCGCCCTCCCACGGCACTCCGACACTAAATCTTCGCCTCGAGGGTGCTCGAGGGTGTATTCGAGAACGTCGGTCGGGCTAAAACCGCGCGATCTCGCTCGGGCACTCGTAAATACACGCGGAAACGTACACCGTCGCCTCCGAGGAAAGTAGAGTGGTCGACAGGGGCCAGAGTTTGGCGAAACTTCTTTCCGAGATTTCACTTTCTTTTTCTTTTCTTTTTTTTTTTTTTTTTTTTGCGACCGGATTTTAAGGGATTTGTTGAAGAGGTGAAATTTTAATGATTGATGGCTGAGATAATTTTCTTTCTTCTTTGGATAGAGGGAATTTTTGGGGGAAAGGAATTTAGAAGTTGGAGCTTTGGCAATTTCGACAGTTAATATATAATTTTCTCGTTTTTTCTTTTAAGGGACGCAGTTTTTTGTAATTTGCTTGAGTAGGATTCTTTTTCATTGACAAATGAAAATTTATTAGAGAGGTAAAGCTTCGGAAATGGATGATTAAGGATTGATTTTTTTCAAGAAGTAGGATTTTTATTAATTGTTTGTAGATTTGTAGGTTCCCTTCCTCTACAGAAATATCGAAGAGGATTTATTTGAAGAAGCATCTGTTTAATTTATCCTTTTTCTTACAGCTGCAATCTTAAATTCGCCAACGCTCGCATGATTAGCTTAGTCGATTCGTTCGACCACAGAGCCGAGCTCGAATACAGCGAATCTCGTCCTGTTTTTGCTCCTCGTTTCATTTTTATCCAATATCTCATAATCAGCCCTTTCTCGAATCATTAAAACATAAGCAGCAGAAACTTTGAAGTGTCGAAGCGTATTGTTCGAGTGCTGCTCATACGGCAGAAACAACAAAGCCAATTTCCGTTCCCGAGAAGTATCGAGCCCGAACTCGAGCCGGAAACAAACTTCGAGAAAACCACGCGAGATGGTTTTCCCTCTTTCGCGTGTTAAAAATTAATTTCTCCTTCTTCGCGCGCGCACGATCCGGGGCGATGTTTCACTGCCCCCGGATAATAATAATCGAAGTTGGGACGCATCAATTTTTACGAGGCATGCTGTTGGCCACGCCAATCGAATCGCCGATCCCGCACGGCTCTAATTTCATTTCCCTGAATCACGAATCGTCCATCTCGCTCAGTTGGCTTACCGAGATACAGGGAATATCACTTTGAGAGAGCGGAGAAGCAATCCCCACGCTTCAACCCCTCGTCCGCTCGAGCATCACGCAGCGAAAATGTATTTCTGAAAGTCACGTAGCCTCCGTAAAAATTATTTCCATCGCGTCGCTCGGAGAGAAAAGTTGCGGTGCTTCGATTACTTTCGCGTTACTTTTCTCACCGAATCGAGCTGACTTGGGAACTTCCATACGGCATTAAGCACGTAGATCGCGCTTCCGCCGGAAATGTATCCGTCGGCGTGGATCTTTCAATCCCTTAACTTTTAGATATCCTTTCGACTTAATGGTCGGGAGAACGAGGAACAGGTTTCTTTCAATTATGAAATTGTCCGTTGGTTTATGAGGTTTCAGAGTTTAATAATACCATCACTTTGCAGCGAAACGCTTAGGTTATTTCATAAAAGTGTTTCGAGGAGTAACTAGTAGTATTTGGAATTGCGAGTTACTTTAATCTCCGTCTTCAAAGTAGCTTTTAATTAATCTCTTTATTTCTTCGGTAATAAAATGTATGAGCTTCGCAATGAAATTTCTTGCAAATGTTTTCTTTTTTTTTTTTTTTTTAATGAAAACGGCTTGTTTATCTTTATTTAAAAACGATACGAAAACTTTCGTTCTAAAATTGAATTTTGACTTAAATAGCGGATACTTGCTCGCGAGTAGTGATCACAAATGTTCGTCGATTAATCTCAATTAGAATACGAGTGCCAGAAGAGCAAAATCTTCCGACGTTGAAAAGATAGATCGTGTTATTA